AGATAAATATATATATCCTTTCAAAAACCAAATTATATAGATTTAATCACAAATAAAATAATTTCATCTTATAAGAGAAAAAATTAGAATAATAATAGTAGTAAAATCTTTTGAAAAAAATAAATGTAATCGATAGGGCAATAATTTTCTATAATTAAAAGATTATTAAATTTCATATAATTCATATTTTTCGGTTCTAATAGTAATATATCAATCTTTTTTTTTTCAAGAAATTAATAAATCCCTAAAATATTCTCATATTCAATAGAATTATCTTTATTGAGAAATTCTAATCTATAAATCTATTTATATATTCGTCTTATAAATTTAAAATTTCTCAATAAGATATTCGTATAATTTGATATATATCATTTAGGTCTAAAATCTTCTATGAGAATTATAAATATTATTTAATTCGTTCTAAAAATTCGATTACGAACAAAATATTCCACGTATTTCGTTTTCCAATGATCTATTATTGAGAAATTTGGACAATTATGAGAGGTTCGGTGCACGCATTCACAGAAGATTTGAGACAATATGATACAAGGCAGGCTCAGTGTCAACCTCAAGGCTACTGGCAGTGTATAGAGGTCTGCCAACATGTTCGCGGTCCTCACAATAAGGACATGCTATTTTGGGTTTAGATTGACATCCGTGACATCCGTGAATGCAAAGAAACTCCCGCAATATGAGCGCGAAGCTGCACGAGATGATCTGATATGCAAGCATAGGATATTAGGACAAGGCCAACACCGCACGCTGGATTTCATAAGCAGTTGTTCTCTCTCGGCCGCACTCGGAGAAATCAATGGTTCTGCAGTTTGCATAAGGCTTCTTCTGTACAGCAAGCAAGCCCGAGTAACGGAGACTACCGTAGACTACCGCAGCACAATTTTATGTAAGGCCCTTCCAAACACTAAACAAATGAGTTTCTATGAGAATCCTGCAAAGTAGCCGGCGGTGGAAGCTGAGGGTAGTCTAGGGTGGAGCTTTCGTCGGCGCCTGCTAGCAGCTGTCTTAAAAAGCACCGCGAGAATCCAGCTGCTTGCACAGAACACCTGAAGAATGAGCCTTTGGCAGACCTGGCCTGTGACAAATATTCGATCGCGAAACTGTCGCAGCTTTAGTTTCGTCTGACACACAGATGCTACATGGTTCTGCCTTGCCCATTGCAATCATGGCACATCGGCTCGGTGCTAGCCAGCTAACCATTAATGCATGAGAGAGAGAATCATTTCACTCGTCCTTGAGATAGGGCTCCAGGCACTGAGGAATTTCGTACTTCCCACAGTCATTGCCCTGGAGCCAGCCGCAGCAGTGGCAACCAGTGGCCAGGAAACAGGCTGGGCAGATGCCTGAAGTGCAAAGAAGGAACCACAGAGGATTTTGCTGCCCCCACCATCGGTCCCGGCCATGGATGGTAATGTACAGCCGATGTCGGAAATTTTGCAAGGGTGTCTCGTAGTCGTAGTCTGCAGGATAAAAGTTGGTCACAAGGGCCCTCATAACATGCATGGCAAAGGTGTAGCCACCTTCCCGCTTCATCACCTCCTCAAAGGGCTAGCACGATTGGGCTTTGTTCAATTCTTTGCTGGCTGACAACTTGTGGACTCCAAACTTTAAGCAAAGTTCCGTTCCAGCCTATGCCCCCAAAGAGCCCTAAACCGCTCCTTCATTTGAATCTGCCGGTTCTCGACTTCAAAGGCTTCGATAGTGCGGATCCGTGTATCTTCGCACTCCTCCTGCTCGAACCACTCGATGTCCTCACGTCAAGGACTCAGTCCAAGCGTTCCGAGAGACTCCCACATGCCATAGCGTTAGCCAGTTTAAAATGCCTTTGACTGACGAGCTAGAGGCATTATTATTCCTCAATTAAGATATAATGGTATCTCCGGCATCAGGAGCAATGCCCCTAACCTAAACTTCGGCAACACCTTGCCATATATATATATAGATATATATACATATCATATCATATCATATATATATATATATAGATATATACATATCATATCATATCATATATATATATATATATATATATTTATGAACATACTTACGGGCATACATGCATACATGCATACATGCATACATGCATACATGCATGCATGCATACATACATACATACATACATACATACATACGTACATATATATATATATACATGTATGTCTATATATATATATAGATAGATATAGTTCGATTGGCTGCGCAACACAGGGCAGAGAGCGCACAGAAACTCTGGGTCTTCAAGTCATTGAGGTTGAGGGCTTCTAGCGTTACGAAACTGGGTTTTTACGTTTAATGCTTCTGGCGCTTAGGTAGGTTTTGTGAATGCACTGGTCAATCCCAGATCTAGATGCTTCACTCTAAAATTTCCTGAAATTCCAGCAGCCCTAAAGGCCCTATAACCGCGAAACCTCATCAAGCCGCCCACAGCCCTCTGAAGCTCCCAACCGAAGCGCCAGCATTCGACCCGGAGACGGTGGGTTCAGGTTTCAAACCTTTCGGTTTAGGGCGGTCCTCCTTGACAAGAGACAAGCCCATGAGACAAACCTGCACATCGCCATATACCTGAAACAAAGCCGTTCACTCTCCTGTTGACTAGGAGCCAGTGGTTCGAGGGGCCTGTTTAAGATCTTAGTGCCTTGGGAGCCTGAATACTGGAATTATGTTTTCGGAAATGGTGATTCCTGTATCACCATTAAGTAGGAAGCCGGGTTTTGTTTAGTTTGGGTCAGGGCTTCCTGGCTGTCATAGGGTCCAGTGCTGTTTGAGATTGAGGGCTTCAGGGTTTAGGGTGTAGGATTTATTCAAGTTTACATAAAAATGAACAAACATTTGCAAGAGCAGCCAAGATACCATGTTCTGAATCCTGTCCAGGACCTTGCGGTCATGATGTGCAAGAGCGGTCTATGCATAGAACTTCGAAGGAGCTCCCTCACGATCTTCAAAAGAGTAATATAGGGGCCTTCATAATTAGAATAGGGTTTTGGGGCCGGCCCATTACACTACAATTCTAAGAAGGAACCCCCAAAATAGTATTGGTAATTTATTAGGCCCCTACACTAGGTCTCTGAATCAGAGTCCCGCTTTGAGCCCTTGCTTTCTGAGCGCGAGCTCTTTTTAAGGGACTATCCGATGGGCAGCCGCGCCGTCGTTAAGGGCCTGGGGTGTAGGCTTTGGGGTTTGGTAAATGACCACACGAACCTGTAGTACAGGGACCTTAATTGCAAAAATAAGGGTCATAAAGAAATATTCTCACGACTTATGCGGACCCTTACCTGTATTCACACGCCAACGCCAGAAAATATTCACCTGGCAGCTCCGGTATGTACAATCAAACTGCTTCATGGAGGTCTGAACCCCCTGCCAGCCTGGTTGAAGGCATTCATGTCGTTTGCCTGATGCGAGAATTGTCTACTCTCGGGTCACTGAGGCTCAGAACCTCCAAATGTCCACTAGGCGATTCTAGACAAAACTTGTGTCTTATGGACGAAATGCCAGAACCTCTGGTTAGAGTTGCAGCAAAAACATATGGATTGAAGTGCTGGAAGGCCCTAAGACCTTGAACTCTACATCCAAGACCCTTAACTCTGAGAACCATTTGCTAGGCGTTCCCCTTCTGGAGGGCCTGGCGGCCAGATGGCATAGTAGCAGCACATACCCTTGTGCATGCTTACCTATATTCGGTAGCAGTGGCCGGTGCGCAAAACACACCGGAGTCTGTCACTGTAGTACTATCACAGCTGAGAACGCGGCTAAACCCTATCGATCCTCAAACAACCAGGGGCCGATATCTTCAACATATGTATCACCTTTGCGGGCATGCAGCCTCGTAATGGTATATTTACATATCTAGCCGCTGTCTTTGAGAATCCACCCCAAGGTTAAAGGAAACTACAGGTGGGGAGTTTCGGGTATATAGGGCTTCTATAAGGCCTCCATAAGGTATATAGACCTTCTATAAGGCTCCTATAACGGTAACTACCCACCTGAAAATGTCCTAGACAAGGAGAGACACCCCCAAACCAAAGCCGTGGAAGCCATATGGCCTCCCCATCGGTCAAGGCGAGAATCAGAAGCGGCTGGCCCGTTGAAGCAGGAGCAAAATCCTGAAGTACCTGCCCCAAAATTCGGAAAACTTTCACTTTTCGGGTTGGGTGTTCGGCGTAAAGCAAAGTCTAGTTGGGGCCCGAAAACAAATAGGGCTGTTTATGCAGGGGTTCTGTAGGTTGCAAACCTGAGACGGGCTCCAGACCCAAGGTCCACACAATCTCGGCTGGTCCAGCAAAAAGAGTCAGGGATAGAGGGCGTCTGGGGGTGAAACCTTAGTCACTTAGTATCACTTAGTACACACCCCAAGGAAATTCTTCAAACCAAAACCGCATCAGACCTCCCAATACCAGGGCTCCAGATAAACATGAACAAACCCTTTGTACCACCCTCAGAAAGCCTTTTGTCATACCCCAGTCATGTGGTGCCTGAGTCAACGTCCGATCCATGGGAGTGGTTCCCCTTGCGGGACTCTGGAAAATCTCCTCCACCTGCGTTGAGGGTGCAAGCGATGTACTTAAAAACATATTTGCTCATTGAGGCCTTTAACATGTCACCTGGCAAGATTGTTTTGCAGTGTCGGGCGCATGGTTTTTCTTTCGTGTTGATAACTTAGGATGTTTCTCTTGGTGTTTCTGGCTGCGTCTTCTTTAAGGGGATCCCGCGTTCTAGTAGTCCTGATGCGGCTGGGTATGGCTGCCGTCGGCACCAAAGAAATGCCGCACCGTACAAAAACACTGGGGCATCCCGTTCCGAGGGGAGCAAACTGGGTTTGCGCAAATGGGCCTCCAAAGACATTGCATCACGAACGGCCTGCACCAACAAAGAATCACCACCATTAACATGCTGGGTACATCGGACTGCGGCTGAGAAGGAGTGGCGATTTGAGCATCGGACGACTGAGCGTAGTTCGTTGTCTTCGATTTGCCCTTGGCACCCTTAGCACTGCCCTGCCCGCTTCCATTGAGTGCATGCGCAATCTGATTTCGCATGTTGCTGCCCAAGGATAGCAGAAAAGCATGCACATAAGCATACAAAGTGTGAGAAGGTCATCCTGTGTTGTGCTATTGAGGCATTGCGAACACCGTTTCGTCACAGACACCGCCTTCAACCCCTGCATGTTCGCGAGCAGTGTCTGTCTAGACGCAGGGGAGCCTTGCGGGTCTTATACAAGAGTTGCATGAAGCTTACAGGGGCGTCTTGGGGTGGATCCTCGACTATACAATCATGCTCAGGAATAGCAGCAAGCCGATGTAGGATCATTCTGCTGGCTGCCCCAAGCTCCTAAACCGAACCGAAAGCTGAGGCAAGGCGAAGTCTGATCGTCAGAGTCCCTTGCGAGCCTGCGAACATCGATACCGGGAGCCACGGGCGTCCCCATTCCTGTTCTTGACTTTATGGCAAAGGAATCCTATTTACCTATATAATAACAACTTGTACATGGTCGTATCGTATAGCTAGCATAGAAAAGTATAGTACGGTTTTGTTTAGCCTAAACACCTAAAGCAATAATCATTAACCGTCATTAGCCCTGAACCTTCCGTTCTTCGGCTCCAGAAGCAAACCTCTGCGGACAGGGGGCAGGAGGTAGATCCAAGGATCCATGCCTTAGCTGACCACATAGTATAGTATAGTATAGTATAGTAGAGTAGAGTAGAGTAGAGTATAGTATATAGTACAGTATAGTATAGTGTATAGTATAGTATAGTATATTCTGGTTGGTGATCAGGGAGTGGGTGTACCTGCGGAGCTCCTTTCTAGCTTTGCTTTTTATATTCTGTTCTTTCCGCTCATTTTCCGCCAAGTTCATCGCAAGGCCCTAAAGAGCAGGAGAAGCAGACATCTCTGTTGGTTCTTTTGATCTTTTTTAGTCTTATAGAATTTAGGGTGTAGCATATTGCACATCATATTAAGTATGAGTTTTATGAGCTTGGCTTGCAGCGGATCGTACTACCTATGTATACCTACATTCGGGCCTATGCAAGCTCATCTTACTGAGTGGGGCTTCTCATGTGACGATACAAACTCGCTGCTTAATTTTGGACCTGGTGAAGACGAACATCTTCCAACCGGAAGATCTAGGTCCCAGGTCGAAAAATCTGTGAGACCTACGGGGGTCTATGCGGTTGTTCGAAGGACCCGAAGGACCCGTAAAACAAGACGGCCATCGCCCGAGCCCCAGGTCCCTGTCGGCATGAGCTTTCCTGCGTGGTTGCCTGCCTAAGGGTTTGGGGTTTAGGGTTTAGGGTTTGGGGTTTAGGGTTTAAATAGGGTTTAGGATTTCCTGAACTTTCGAGGCCTCGACACTCAACAAGAAAAATTCATCTGCACTCAGGGCCACCCGTGTTCGGAAAGCGCTCTTTTCTGCTCGCGGCTTAGGGCTTAGGGTTTTTCTACCACAGAGATCATAAAAGACTCGGCAACCGCACGGAAAGCAAAGCCCAGAAACCAAGCCCCTAACAGAACGGTTTGTAACCCCACAGGGAAACACTTAACACCGAAAAGAAACTCTAAGCCCGCAATCCCGTAAAAGCTTTAACAATCCAAGCCTGAGCCGTGTCACCCATGATTTCAAATAGCTGCTTCCAGCATCGAAGGTGATGACGCGCGAAAAACCATCTGCGAAGACAGTTTTGGCTTTGTGAGGCGGTTCTTGCCGTTTCAGTTCCTTAACCTCCCCTACAGGCTTCGCATGAACTTGGCCTCCGGAAATCTGACTGCTGTCCCGGGTCCCCACACAACACCTGACCCTGGATGGTCACAGACTGGTAAGCCGAAAACATCGCCAAACCCTGAGCCCACAAGCCTGAACATGACCGCTGCCAGGAAAAACGCACACACACATACTATACATATGTATATCTAGATAAGCATCTAAGACCATATAATACTGGTTGGCAATATTACTACAACTTTTCGCTAGCCCAGCAAATGCTGCCAGCCTAGCTGTGCTTCCTACACCACTAGACATCTTCAGTCTTATCCCCGAACGCTGCTGAGTCAAAGCGTGCTATTGCTGCCTCACTCCTCTACCAGCATAACCGCCCACTATGATGCACGGACCCCACTGTAAGTACGAATGTATGCCGTGTGTGTATATACATATGTATGTACATATATATATATATAATTATGTCTTAGCGTCAATATCGAAACTTAAATACTCCAGCCGCTACAACCCCCCCCCTCAAACGTGTCATCCCGATGAGACACACCTAGAAGCAATCAGCCGCATCAAGAGCAAGCAAGACCCAAATGCAAGAGTCAGAACAATGAACTCGACGAATTGCGTAGTCTTTGCAAACGTCCCTATGACGCTCGCCCAGCTCGCTTTTCCTTTTTTTAAGGTTCAGGGTTTAGGAATCCGAAACCCGAAACTCCTTAGGTCCTAAGCTCTATACAGTCTCGGACGGAGCCTCCGGTGCTCTGGATTCACCGGGCAGAGAGCGGGCGCAAGCCTTTTGTAACCCGAAGAGGTCAACCTTGGGCCCAGAGCGCAGAAGTTTGGATTTGAGGCCCAGGATCGACCCTTCTGTTGGGTTTAGAGTGGCAGTTGGTGGCAGCCCTCGTGCTCAAGAACATGGAAACCTATCTAAATAAGTTCAAGTACTGCTAAGATACACCCATGGAGTAGGACAGCAGTCACCGATTGCGTCGTGCAGAACGAACAAGTACTTGAGACCAATGTCTCTGTGTCTGACTGAGTCTTAGGGTTGAGGCTTTAAGGTTTTCGGATTTACAACTTTGGGCTGTCTTAGTGTGTTTTTACTCGTTATGCCAGTTTCGATCCACGCGCTGATCTGCATCTAAAACAGGACATAGTCATTCTAGCACTGTGAAGTCGTAGGCCTTCATGATGCAGTAGTCTGATTTCCTGGGTATGCCCGGTTACTGGAGGCTGTAAGCCAGCTCTGAAGCCAAAACCGCGCTTGACTTTCGCACAAGCCAAAGTACGACCTCGTCCACGGCGACAAGTTCGACACTGATGTAGCTTCGAAATGCTTCGAATGGATGAGGTGCTCCGATGGAAAGCTTTATGGCAAGTTCTGGTGTATCGTGTTCGCCTCCAGGATTGCACGACGCAACCATTGCATGGGAACTTCTGCCTGCCCCCTGATACCCGTCTGCCGCCGTGAATGGATCTGTCATGGAAGATGCGAAGCGAAGAACCGTCTTTGCCTCGAGGTGGCGCTCCGGCCACTGCTGCTGTAGGCCCATCATGAGGAAGCACGGGGCCAACTAAAGTAGCATGGTCTAGGACGTAAACTTACTGAAGACCGGGTGGTGTGTACACATGGAAGGACGGTAAGCATTATTCAACCAAACAGGGGTGTACGGGCATATTCATGAAGATGTGTATGCGTGGTCATAAGAAGCGAGGTAGTGAAGCGAGGCATCCAATCTCAACCGTTTCAACCCTTGCAGGGAAACTGAAGTGCATTTGCTCTTTGGAGACTCGAAAGTATCTTCAATACAAGACGAAACAATAAAACCTGAACCCTTCCACACCAACACGTCTAGACACTGAATTGATCACCTTGAATGAATCGAAGCCTAATCATCGATCCTCGAAATCCACCCTGGAATCCTACATCCTTGGCCCTGGCTGAGTCGAAATGCAAACTCTCTGCATCCTGCGTGAGTTTGGAAGCAGCCGCAGATTTAGAATTTGGCTAAACGTTTCTCTACGTTACAAGGGGCTAGGGGTCAGGGGCTGAAGGTGCAAAGGGTGTATGGCCCGAGTCTACTGGGAAGAAGGTGCAACCTTGCAAAGCCACCTTGAACCAGAAAATGAAAGTTATAGCCGATAGCGTGCCAATAGCCCCGACCAGTGTCCGGGACCACTCTGATATACATCTCCGGAACATTGCCAGTATAAGACGCCCAGCCCCATGATCTGGGATGGTTTTGCCAATGTGGATAGTTCTCTAAATTAGGGCTCCTTTTATAAGGTTGCCGTACTATATTGGGGACCTGAAAAGGGACCCTAATTTAGAGAACTACCCATGTGGCAGAGGACCAACCACCCGGCAGCGACTTGCGAAGCGTCATCTCAAGCAGGCCTGTGCCGTTTGGTTCTTGAAGTCTTGGAGGGCCCAGTCTTTTGAGATCTTTTGAAGGGAGTTGGCTTAGGGTTAAGGGTTTAGGGGTTAGGGTTTTAGGGTTAGTCTTTTGAGGGGAGCTTAGAAGCGTTTTACGGTTTAGTTTGGTTTGCGGGGTGTTTCGGGGGAGTGGGTTGTTGTATAAGTTTTGGGGCGGTTCGGGGTTCGCAGAAGGAGCGTGACCCTTGTTGTTGCCGCAGAATTCCCCCTGCCAGGCATCACACACTCGAAGCTATTCGGGGGCTTGGGACTAAAAGGCGCAAGAAACAAATCAAACCCAAGTTGGGACTTGCCCTATCTTGAGAAATCCTTGTAACACCGGAAATACTGAGTTCGAAACCCCAAGCCATGAAGTCCTGCATTGAAACCAAAATCGACCGGTGCCTGGAAGCCTCGTTAGGAAGAAAGCGATGTATAGCATTGCGACAACCGAAATTAAAGCGACTGTGGGCAAGATCAACAGGGCATGCTGCATTTTGCATGACGAGACAACACCATTGCAGGAGAAAGAACCAACCTTCAACCTTGCTGATACCCTGAGCCCCCAAAACCCTCAACTGACACCTGAACTTCAACCATGCCATCAATCGTAGACCAAAACCTGAATCCTAAAATATTAAACAGGTCAAACCGTCTAACCTCATTAGAACCCAAAGCCTATAGACCTGGACCGTGGATTTAAACCCTAAGCCGTATGACCCTAAACCCGATGCAACAACTTGAAGGATCTAACATCTAGGAATTGAGCCAAAGGACATAAGCGCGCCGAAACCGTTAGCCAATCGGGATAAGAGCTCTGCACATCCAAAACATAACAAAAAACTGATCTAGGCTTGAACCCTGAATCCCCTGACGCACAAAACTATTAGGCCCGGGGCCTGCCTGGTCTTTGAGTTGACTGGTCCTCCATGCCGGTTGCCTTTGGGGCCGGAGATTTTGGGTTTGTAGATGCCTTTACGGCCTTTGTTGTGGTTTAGGCTTTTGGGATAAAAGCTTTCTCGTACGAAGCATTTTCTGGTCTTTTGCCAAGTCTTCGTAGGCGTTTCTCCTTAGTACATAGTCGCAGAGCTATCGAACTCATCTGACTTGGTCCGACAGCTTCCGCAAAAGGTGCGGTGCGTTGCCAAGCCTGTGCAGCCAACGTTCCGGCCCTATACAAGCCCAAAGCAAACAGTAAACGCGAACGGCCAATCTCCAAGCGCTATCCCGAATACGCAGGCAAGGCGTGGGGTATGCCTGAATTCTGGCCAGCATGCTGCAGGCGGCATCTGCCCGAACATGTCCATGTTCATGGAACCACTGTTGTCTAACACGATCGCCACCTGCAGTACAACGTCGGATTTAGGGTTTAGGGTTCAACGAATACTGTACATTACTTTATCGCTTGAGACACACGGCAATCCGCAGCGCCGCAGTGGCAACTATTCGTTCTACTGAGTCTACTGCCCTTCTGTAGGTGCTTGGTGTAATCCATTTTACTTCAAGGCTAGGTATGCACATGCCTCATGAAGAGACTGGGCTTTCGAGTCGTTTGTAGCTAGCATGGTTCCAATGGTTCCGCACATTTCCGCACCATTAAGCCCTACACGCTTCTAGAGGACATGAAAGCAAAGCCTTGGACAAAGGCCAAAAACGCAAAAGGCAGAGCCTCGGCCCTTCATCCAGGAATTTCAAAGTTGAAAGATAACCCTTGAATTTGGATCTTATCTACAATCATGACCGGAAGCCCGACATAGTCTAATAATATTCCCCATAAATGCTGAAACTGTGCTACCGAAAGCATGTGGGTTGAAAACTGCCATCATTGCTTGAAGCCTAGAGTCAAGACCTCTGAGTTGAAGTTAAAGGGCCAGGCTCTAGGGTTGGGGAGCGCAGAACCCTAAAGACAACAACGGCCAGAGAGCCCAATGCCCGTGACATAAGGAATGCCTCAGTTCCAAAAAATCCTTCGCTGGCTTTCAAACTTTAAGTGTCGAGGTTTCTTTGCGTGCGTGTGTGTCAAAAAGTCGAAGCATGTTGGATTTTGGGTTTCTTTGGTTCGAGGACTTCCCGAACACTGCAGAGGATCTAAACCCTCGGCCCCGACCCCGCACCAAACCTCGATGTCGTAAATCAGCGGCGTCAGCATGTCGTATGCCAGGGTATGGGCGTGGCCCGTGTCCTCCACAGTCGCTCCGAAACGCCGCCACAAGGCCGAAAACCTCTAATTTCGGTATAGCAACTTATTGTAAACCAAGCCCAAGATCACAAGTAGGTCCAGGCATGTGGACAGACAGCTGCAGCGATTTGCAATCCCGAGCGCTCCAAGGTAAACCTATGAAACTCCATCCGAAAATTAGATCTTTAGGACTTGAACAAAAACTCAAACCACGACCCTTGGAGAAAGGGCCATATACCTCCCCAAGGTTGACAGAACGGTACATACTCAGGTCCTGCAGCAGGTGCTCCAAGCGGGAAATCATGGTCAACTCCTGTCAAGCTGGTATCGCTCTGGGAGATGACAACCTTGAACCCTACACCGTAAACTCAAAAAGTCGTGGTCTCTGATCTACAAACCCTCAAACCCTGAACCAAACCGCAAGCTTGGAGGGCTTCTTGCGAGATAGAGAGGGATGCTAGGTGAGGCCCCGCACCGTGATATTCTTCTGGCATTTCGACGTCAGAACGTGCAGAAGACAGTGAGGAAAACCTTCCTCCATAAGCTTTTATACATCTCAAGCATAACCCCGAGATGCTGCACAGAGCCAGTGTGGTCTTGAACAAGCTTTTTCACACTCAATGGCTCAGCACCCCCTTAACCCTCAACCACCCCAAAACATAAACCCAGCGGCAGTCCTTAGGAGTGAACCATGACGTATCCAGCAAACCTGGCCATCGGAGGCAACCTCTCGCCCCAAGCCGGCCCGAACCCCACACATGCTAATCCTCTCGCACTAAGCCCCAAAGCCATGGGCCCGAAACCATTGAAACAAAAAGAACCTAAAACCCTCAACCCGGAAACCTTCCGATTTTCCGGCGAGTGACGCGGGGGGTAAAGGCCCGAGCCGCTAATCATCTGATCCATTATGAACCACGGCTTCCTTTGCTGGGGGCTTCAAAGGGGTTCGGTGTTTAGAGCCTGTAGGATTCAAGGATAGGTTTTCCAAAATTCAACCTTCTAAGACTTGACGGGATTTAAGATTTGGGGTTCAGGATTGGGGGCTACAAGGCACAAGATGTATAGGTCCTAAGATTGGGCTTCTAAGTTGGATCATAATGTGTCTGCAAGATGTACATTGCCAAATGTTTGTGTCCTCATCTGAAACTCCCATATTTCCCCACGTCAACTGAGTTTTCAACCGTTGCCCAGGTTACGCTTTATTTACCTATACTTTAGAGCTGGCCCTACCCCCCCACCTTGAGAAACAACTCGACAACCCACGGCCTCACCATAATAAAAAAAATACCTTCAACCCTAATAAATCACCGACGTCTTTGCAACTCTGCAACCCAAACCCCACTACTCCAAGCTGTGGCTCAACAGAATTTTTGCATTCCAGACTTGGGCGCACGCAGCAGCAAAACAATTTGAGCAATATTGCAATCGAACAGCCAAATACAGCGAACTGTCATCAGAGCAAATCATACAGAAGTATAAAGTACAATACTACGGCAACAAGCAGGAAGCGAGTGCATCTCACTTTAATACATTACACACAGCAGCGAAAGGGACGGACAGGCCCAAACGCTACGGCTGGATGAAGACCTATATATCAACAGTCAACGACGAAACGGCGTACGGAGATCCCCACGTGACGGCACCCAAAGGAGACAACATGCACTGGACGGCACCGGGCATGAGACTAGGCAACGCGGGCAGCACGTCATGTCACAAGAAGACGGAACCAGACAACGAAGCCGCAGGCAGGAGCTCTGCAATCCGGCGATGCATGCTGCTGCAAGTACCGAGCAGGCCTTGTGCCCAGAGTCCTTTCCCCAAGTAAGGTCGAAACTGGTCCAACAGCCAGCGTTCCCTTGTGTCCTGGCCGGTCTCACTGGCCACGTTCGGCTGAAGCGGTCCGTGTTGCGTGGCTTCAACTGCCGGCGAACTCTGCAGGAGCGGTTCCAAATCCTGCCCTCCTCCGCTGCACAGGGACGAGGCTTGGGACGCTCCGTGGAGCGCTACGACGGTGCATCCCGGTGTGAAATCAGCGGCTTGCTGCCAAAGATTTTCCAGTTGTCCGGGACCGCCGGGGAACGCTCGCGGTCTTTGCCCTTACCTGCCTTTCCGGCACCCTTTCCTCTTTTGCCGGGAGCAACCGCCTTTCCTTTTCCTTTTCCTTTTCCTTTTCCTTTTCCTTTTCCTTTTCCTTTTCCTTTTCCTTTGCCTTTGCCTTTGCCTTT